AGTAGTAGGAGGAGCAGTAGTCGTAGGAGTAGCAGTAACAGTAGTAGCAGTAGTAGTAGTAGTAGTAGTAGTAGTAGTAGTAGTAGTAGTAGTAGTGTAGTAGTGGTAGTAGTATTAGTAGTAGTAGTAGTAGTAGTAGTAGTAGTAGTAGTAGTAGTAGTAGTAGTAGTAGTAGTAGTAGTAGTAGTAGTAGTAGTAGTAGTAGTAGTAGTAGTAGTAGTACTAGTAGTAGTAGTAGTAGTAGTAGTAGTAGTAGTAGTAGTAGTAGTAGTAGTAGTAGTAGGAAAAGGTAGAGACGTGGGGTCTCCTGTGCCGCCCTGGAGTGTCGGGAAGCCGAAGGGGCGAGAACCCCAGAAACGAATTGAAAATCAATAGTTTTCGTCGTCTCGTCGTCTTCGTTTTCGTCTTCGTCTTCGTCGTCGTCGTCGGGCGTGGAGAGGGGTTTGCGGCAGGAGGCGGAGCCGTCAGTATGTCGGGATGACCGTGCTCTTGCCAGGCGCACTCCGGATGCTCTCGTGATAATGTCGCGTGATCCAATTAGCACTGCCTGACGGCTGCCACCCAGTGAAATCCGCACATGAACGGCGTAGAATGAAAGACAACGGAAAAAACAGTCTGGAAACAAGCCTCCGCATCACTCATAGTGAAGCGCTTCTTCGCTGGCCGCTTCGCGATGTCCTCGGTGGCGTCGTAGAACACTTGAGACGCCTCCCTCACTTTGGCCACCTGCATGCTGCTGGTCAGCATGAGCCCGCACACGCGCTCCAGAGGCGTCCACAAGCGCTCCAGAGGCGGAGGCGCGGACAAGCGCTCCCGAGGCGCTCACAAGCGCTCCAGAGGCGCTCACAAGCGCTCCAGAAGCCGCGCTGAGAGGCTCGTAGTAATCTCGTAGGAGGTCTTCCAGAAGCTTCAAAAGCTTCATAAGAGCTCGGTAACCGGGGAAGAAGCCAGTTTACCGGGAAATGCCCCAGATTACCAGGAAAAGGAGTCATGTCAAGCAGGAGGAGCAGAAGGAGGAGGAGGAGGCGGAGTACGAGGGTGATTGGAGTGGGGGGTGGGAGAGTGAGGAAAACGTGAGTACAAGGGGGACGAGGACGATAAGGAGTACATCAGGAGGAAGTGGGGTACAGCGATGAGTGCGCGGCCAGGGGGGTGCGCCGGCCAGGAGCTGAGCTACCACAGGCTTCGCCCAGATCCGGCGCGGCTGCTGACGAAGGAGCCGGCGCGCGGCCGTACCGGGAGCGGCCAGACAGGGACCATGGTGGTGGTGGTGGTGACGATGTGTGGCGGTGGCGGTGGTGGTGATGACGCAGGTGGTGGTGATGGAGATGGCGGTGATGATGGCGATGCTGCTTGGCATAGCTCGGACGTGTACGTGTGTCTCGGCAGGGGCCACCGAGGAGCATTGTGGGCCGTCCGGCGACAAATTAGACGCACGAAGCCGAAGCATGCACGGGGGAAGGGACGTCCGAGCGATGGCCAGTGCTGATGATGGTGATGGTTATGATGCTATGGTGGTGGTGGTGGTGGCGATCATATGAATGATGACGACGACGGCCACGATGATGATGATGCTGATGATGATGCTGCTGCTGATGCTGCTGATGATGGCGATGATGATGATGATGATGATGCTGATGATGATGATGGTGCTGGTGATGGTGATGGTGATAATGATGATGACGATGATGATGATGATGATGATGATAATGATGACGATGTTGATGATGCTGCTGATGATGATGATGGTGATGATGCTGATGGTGATGATGCTGCTAATGCTGATGCTGACGCTGATACTGCTGCTGCTGACGATGGTAATGCTGATGCTGCTGCTGTAGGATGCTGATAATACTGGTAATGAGGATGATGGTGATGATGGTGGTGATGATGATGTTGATGATGATGATGCTGATGATGATGATGATGAAGATGATGATGATGCTGATGATGATGATGATGAAGATGATGATGATGCTCATGATGATGATGATGAGGAGGATGATGATCTTGATGATGATAATGATGATGATGGTGATGGTGATGGTGATGGTGATGATGAAGATGATGATGATGATGATGATGATGATGATGGTGATGATGATGATGATGATGATGATGATGATGAAGAATATGATGATGATGATGATGATGATGATGATGATGATGATGATGATGATGATGATGATGATGATGATGATGATGATGATGATGATGATGATTATGATGATGATGATGATGATGATGATGATGATGATGATGATGATGATGATGATGATGATGATGATGATGATGATGATGATGATGCTGATGATGATGATGATGATGATGATGATGATGATGATGATGATGATGATGATGATGATGATGATGATGATGATGATGATTATCAGCGTCTCGCTCCGTGTAGTCTCTGCAGCTTATCGGTCCGAAGCTTCCCGCAGACTCCTCGGCGGTGTCTTCTCTGGGCGCGCGCCAGGCTGGCCACCGAGGGAGTGGGCGAGGTCGTCATGCCCAGGGGCTCGCGAGGTGCGCTTTGGGCGCGGCTCGTGAGACGGTCTCTTCTTACTTCTGTCGGACAGGGAGCGGCCCCGCTGGTGACTCCCTGGGCCGCTCAACCGGATCTGGCCACACCGCTTTCTGGCCACACCACTCGGGGAACTACCTACTACAAGATGGGTATACCATATGCTCGGGTCGGACGCGCGCCTCCAAGGAGAACATATAGCACAGTACTAGTATGTCTTTGTGCGTCCCCCACGAGTGACCCCTCGCCGGAGCGACCTTCAGTGCGGGCCCCGCTGGCGACTCCCTGGGCCGCTCAAGCGGATCCAGAAGGGCATGCCACTGGCCTCTCATCGGGCTTGGGTCCGTCCTAGGGGGCCACGTGCGAACCCTACCCCCACCCCCCACGATTTCTGAGGGGGAGGGTGGGGCTCACCTCGCTCGGGAGCTCCCGAACGAAGTGAACCCCACCCTCCCCCTCAGAAATCGTGGGGGTAAGGGAGGAGGAGGAGGAGGAGGAGGAGGAGGAGGAGGGGGAGGAGGGGGGGGGGAGGGGGAGGGGGAGGGGGAGGGGGAGGGGGGAGGGGGAGGGGGAGGGTAGGGTTCGCATGTGGCCCCCCACGCGCGCCGCCGCCGCCCGCCCAGGGCCGGCGGGGGGACGGAAGCCGCGAGGTGCTGCGCCCTGCTGCTCTGGAGCGCCCTGGCCCCTCTCGGTGGGCTACGGCTCTCTGCAGCCCTCGCAGGGGTTGCGGCTTGGGGGGCCTCCGTGGCCCGCTGGCGGGGGCACTGTCATCGTCCTCGTCATCGTCTCCTCCCCCTCCTCCTCGTCCTCCTCCTCCTCCTTTTCCCAATCCCGATCCGAATCCCAATCCTAAGCTCCCTCCTCCTCCTCCTCCTCCTCCTCCTCCTCCTCCTCCTCCTCCTCCTCCTCCTCCTCGTCATCGTTATCGTCATCGTCATCGCCATCGTCCTCGCCCATCACCAGAGTGCGCGAGGTGATCGATCGAGGCTCCCCTCGGGCCTGGTCGCCGCGTGTGGCGCGCCCGGGCCTACGGCCCATGGGGCTCGGGCAGCGGAGCGTGCCCACTCCTGGGCTCGAGGCGCGGCTCCGACCGCACACCAGGGCTCGTTCCCATTCGAGGCCCTTTCGACTGCACGTAACATCGGCGCCCCCGCCCCCCCAACATACATCTCTGCGGCATGTGCGGGCATGTGCGTCTATGCTTTCAGAGTTTTGCTTGACCGTGCATTCGACTGTGCGTCGGACGGTGTGGCATGTGCGCGCATGTGCGGCAATGCTGTTGAGGCTTTTGCATATTTGCATGGGCATGTGCATGCGACTGTGCGGCATGTGCCTCCATGTGCGGCCCCTTCCGGACCACAATTTCAAAGTGAGCACTATAGAAGTGAGCACTATAGAAGTGAGTCCGGTGTACAGATACAATGTGTGCGTCGCCCCCCCAGGGGCGACGCGCGGACCGCGAAATCTTGTAGGACGTGCGTCGTGGCGGGCGCTTTCTGGCCACAGTGCTCGGGACCCGATCTGCTACAGGATGGGTATACCACATGTTCGTGTCGAACGCGCGCCTCCAAGGAGAACGTACAGTACTAGTATGTTGTTGTGCGTCCCCTAATGGTGACCCCTCGCCGGAGTTACCTTCCGCTGTTGGCGTGAAGAACGCCCATCTGGAAACGACACTGCAACGTGCCGGCCCCTGGACCCCCCATTTCAATGTTGCGTTCGCGGCCGCTGTCGGGGTGCCAGCGCCGGCAGAAAGACGCCCAGAGCTCCGCCGCTGAGGCAGCTCCGTCTTCAACACCGACATTGGGGGCACGGGGGGTCGCCCTCGACGTGCACGCACATCAGGAGGAGGCGGAGGAGGAGGAGGAGGAGGAGGAGGAGGAGGAGGAGGAGGAGGAGGAGGAGGACGAAGAGGAGAGATCGGCCAGACGATGGCACTTGAGGGCGCTCCAAGACTTGGGCGAGGCCAGAAAGCTTCCCGCGTGCCTGCACGCTCTGAGCAAATCAGCGTCGACCTCTACGCCTGGTGGGCGCTTCTCACGCCGGTGGCGGTGCAGTGCGGGCCCACGGGGGCCCCCCGATCGCCGACCGCGCTGCGACGGCGGCGCCCTGCGCGTGCCTGGGTCGGGCCCTCTCGCGGGCCCCCCCCCCCCCCCGAACGCCGCGCACCCAAGGCCGCTCTCGTCCATCCTCGTCTTCCTCATCGCCTCCTCCTCCCCCTCCTCCTCCTCCTTCCCATTCCTTCCCCTCCTCCTCCTCCTCCTCCCTCCTCCTTCCCCATTCCTCCTCTCCTCCTCCTCGTCCTCCTCTCCTCCTCCTCCTCCTTCCCATTCCTTCCCCTCCTCCTTCCTCCTCCTCCTCCTCCTCCTCCCCTCCTCCTCCTTCCCATTCCTCCTCCTCGTCGTCGTCCTCCTCCTCCTCCTCCTCCTCCTCCTCCCTCTGCCTCCTCCCCTTTAGATCTGTCGAGCTTTCTTCCGACACCCTTCGGGGCCTCCAGAGCGGGCGCGGCGCGCTCGTCCGCGCCTGCGGGCGCGGTCGGCCGCTGGCACGCTGCGGTCATGGGGGGCCATGGCATCGGCAGCGGACGCGACGCTGGGAGCTATTCCCGATGGGGAGGAGGAGGAGGAGATAGGAGGAGGAGGAGAGGAGGAGGAGGAGGAGGAGGAGGAGGAGGGAGGAGGAGGAGGAGGAGGAGATAGGAGGAGGAGGAGGAGGAGGAGGAGGAGAGGGAGGAGGAGGAGGAGGAGAGGAGGAGGAGGAGGAGGAGGAGGAGGAGGAGGGAGGAGGAGGGAGGAGGAGGGGAGGAGGAGGAGGACGAGGAGGACGAGGAGGAGGAGGAGGAGCTATTCCCGATGGGGATGGGCCAGTATCGGGTCTGGCGAAAGGGGGGGATTGGGAAAGGGGGGGTTACGAAATTTGCTGCATGCAGCTGGTTTCGGCCTCACCGAGGGGCCCATTCCTCGATACATAGCCGCCTCCGGCGCCGGGAGGCGCCGGGAAAATCGGCTACGTGAGCTGATTCTCAACCCCCCCCTTTGCTATCCCCCCCTTTCGCCCGACCCGACAGTATGCGGCCCGAGCTGTACGCGCACCAGCCGCCCTCGGCCACCGGGTACGACCGCTGGGGCCTGGGCGACGGAGCGACCGGCGACGCCGCGATCCTCCTTGCCCTTGCGGCCTGGGGGGGCATCCCCTGCCGGCGGTGCCAGCGGCGTTCCGTTCGGCGGAGGGCCTCAGCCTCGAGGGGGCCGAGGGGCTCCAAGGGATGACTGGTCCACGGTGGTGGACCTCCCTCGGCCGGGCGCCGCGTCCCGTGCTCTCGGCGCGACCGAGTCGGCACTGGTGGTCGACTTGGAGAGCTTCGAAGAAGAAAAAACGCCATAAACAGAAGCTTCTCGGATCCGCGCGGGGCCCCCCGGCGGCGCCTCCGGCGCCGCCTCTGGCGGGCTAGCGCCAAGAGGTCACATTTATGGCTTTTTTCTTCTCCTAGAGCTGGAGCTCGAATCTCTGTACCCTTTGTGATGGGCTTGTTTTCCACCACCACCACCACCATAAGTTGGAGAGGGGAGGGACGGGGAGGAGGAGGAGGAGGAGCAGAAGGAAAAGGGAAAGGAGGAGGAGGAGGAGAAGGAGGAAGAGGAGGAGGAGGAGCAGGAGGAGGAGCAGGAGGAGGAGCAGGATGAGCAGACTGAGCAGAAGGAGAAGAAGGAGGAGGAGGCGGAGGTGGAGCAGCAGGAGGAAGAGTAGAAGGGGCAGAATGATGATAATGCTGATGATGATTATGATGATGCTGATGATGCTGCTGCTGCTGATGATGATGAGGATGCGGATGATGATGAGGATGATGATGATAATGGTAATGATAATGATGATGACTATGTTGATGATGATGACGATGATGATGATGATGATGATGATGATGATGATGATGATGATGATGATGATGATGATGATGATGATGCTGATGATGATGATGATGATGAGGAGGAGGAGGAGGAGGAGGAGGAGAAGGAGGAGGAGGAGGATGAGGAGGAGGAGGGTGATGATGATGAGGAGGAGGAGAAGGATGACCCCTTCCCCGTCCTGCTTATGGTGGTGGTTGTGGTGGAAAACAAGCCAACCACTTTGGCCAAGGGGGGCGACGGAGCCGTGGTGCTCCTCGGCGCGGACCGAGGACGGAGCTGCTGGCCCCACCCCTCTGGGGTGCGCACCCTGCGGGACGGTTGCTCGGAGGCTGATAGACCTCCTACCCTGACACGTCGATTAGTGAATTGGCCGTTTAGGGTTCGCGAGAGGACGTCGCGGCCGTTATTTTTGCGGGTCCAGGTCCGTCGGTTTCGGTCCTAGGCCGGTTTCACTAAAGGGAGGTTTACTAAAGGGAGGTTTGACCACCGCCGAGTTGCGTGGGTGTCCACGGGGTGGGAGGCCTGACGCCGAGGAGGGTCCGATGCCGGGAGCGGATCGGGCAACGCCTTACCACGCCGCGGACGAGTCGGTGGACGAGGCAAAGGAAGAGTCAGACGCCGGGATTGCGAGCGACGTGGCCCTTCCGTTGCTGGGGCCTTCCCCCGCCCGGGTGCCCCCTCCGCCTCCGCTGTGGGTTCAGGCTCCAGCCACCAGGGCTGGAACGGTAGCGGCTCGTCCCAGGGCCCGTGGCGCGCCCGCGTCAGCCATGGCGGAGGGCGCTCCCATGGCCCGCGCCGAGGTTCAGATGGAGGCGCGCCCGTGGTGGAGGGCGCGCCCGTGGCGGAGGGCGTGCCCATGGCCCGTGCCGAATTGGCCGCGCAGGCGGTCCAGGCTCCCGCGCTGCCAGTGTGCGGGCGGCGACGGAGCTCCGGGCTGTGCGTGCCGGGGGGCCTCGGCTCCTGCAGCGGCGCAGCAGCGCGCGCGGGCCCCCTCTGCGGAGGGTCTCCAGGCGTTGCCGGCCCACGCTCCAGCGGCCCCCCCGAGCGAGTCCAAGAGCCGAGCGTCGACGCCGGCGTCCGCGCTGGTGGCGGCGTGGGGCAAGAGCGGCCAGGGAGGCGTTCCGCCGAGACCGCTGCTCCCTCTGCCTCCTCCTCCTCCTCTTCCTCCTCCTCCTCCTCCTCCTCCTCCTCCTCTTCCTCCTCTTCCTCCTCCTCCTCCTCCTCCTCCTTCCGAGGCCCTTGGGGGTTCTGGCGCAGGCCCCGCAGCGGCACCGGCCCCCCCGTCTGGCCTCCCGCCCGCTGCCTGGGGCAGTTCGGAGGGGAAAAGCACACAGACACAGGTGATCGCCGACTCCGAGGGAAATATGGAAAACATGGGAAGTTGTGGGGAAGACGGAAACCGAGAACATATGGACAAAGATTGGGAATCCTGGGAGTTGTGTCTATTATTTGTGTGTCCCAGGGCCCCTTTAAACAGCAACGACATCAGAACGACCACCGCAGAGCCCCAGCTGAGCCACGCACCCGCTGTCGGTGTAAGACTGTTCGGTCCTCCCACTCGCGATGCGGCAGCGTGCAGAATTCAAGTCGTGGTTCATCGAGAACAAGCCGCGATCGCGATACCAGTATGTTTTGTAAGGGGGATTGGCGGAGACATCCCCCTCTCCCTGGAGGAACTGAAGGGCAACTGGGCGAAGAATAGGGTCAAGGACATCGAGGTGGAGTTCTTCGGAGAGGTCGGAGCGCGCGCGGGAAACGAGGATAATGAGGAGGAGGAGGAGGAGGAGGAGGAGGAGGAGGAGGAAGAGGAGGGACGCTGGGAGGTCTCTTCTCGCTGACATGGCTGGTTCCCTTCGGAATTCTGGTCAAAGCGTACCCCAAGAAAAATCCAAGGAGGAGAATGGGTCCATATTCCTCCGTTACGTAAATTGGGACCCTGTATGAATAATGCCCCTGGGGATCCGTAATCATTTTGGTTTAAGGCCTTCTGGCTTCACTCTTTCCGCAATAGGGGATATAACCCGCTGTAAGTAATGCTTGCTTTGCTGCATTCATTTTCAATTGTATCATTAAGCTCGCACGCCGCCAGGCGCACGGCTTACGTTCGCTCAGTGTATGTAATGGGCATATTCGATGAGTTGTCGTATCGTGAGAGTTGCTGGTGAACGCTTGGCCGCAGCATATCTGACATGGAGCAGTTTGAGAATGTCCTGCAGAAGACCAGAGCGCGGGCCAAACCGCTGCAGCTGAACAACTTGGAATAAGTACTGAAGGACATCCGGAGCAACGGCCGAGCTTTGGACCTGGGCGTTTGGAGTCTATTAGTCTCGTTGTGCGGTCGCCACTAGCCACAGCTAGCACCTGCATTGCGATACTGGGACGAGGACCTGGGTGGACCAACTGACTGCAATTCTGCACCTGGTTACTTTGTTATCGAATTCATCTCGCATTTCTTGATCGTCTTTCAGACGACGATAATTGCTTTCCAGGGGAAGGCCGTATACCAGTCGATGCATTGTCTTGGCAGTTATTTCCATGTGTACGATTTCTGTTCAACCGGCAATTGGGGCTGTGGACACTCCCTCTGCCGCAGTTTTTTCATATGGGCCTCGTGTGTTTACGAGCCAGCCCTGGCTTGGAAATGGCAAGATGAGGGCAATCAACTGAGGAGCACGTCTGCTTCAATGTGGCGCTGTACCCGAACCACTACATCATTTGAGCGGCCCGGTCGCTCCCTCCAATCAAACTTTCTTCCTCGTTGAACCTCCGGATGGTGGGTGGCATGTGGTGGCCTCCCCCCCTCCCGCCGTCCCCTCTTTGGAAAAGTCCCCTTACTTTCCCTCCTCCCTGTGGCGACCGGAGGGCCCCGCTCGCGCGCGTCGGCCGAGCGGCCGCGCGCGGAGGTCCGCGTGCGCGCGCGGGTGGACGGGGGGCGCCCGAAGGCACTGCGGAAAAAAGGCGCGAGGAGGGATGTGTGGAGGGAGGGAGGATGCACCCGAAGGGGTTGAACGTGACGGGCGAGGCGGGAGTGTTGGGAGGTGAGGGAAGTCAGGACGAAGAGGAACAAGGTGGTAGGGACGAGAAGGGAGGGAGGGACAACGAGGGCAGGAGGGAGGGAAAAGGGGAGGCTGTGCACGAATTTGGTGGAACAGTGGCATGAGCGCGGACGCTGTGCTCCTATCGAAAGGCCTCGTTCAACGGCATTGAACCGATGGGGAGCAAAACGGAACCCTGGCACAGGGCACGACAGTATCGACAGAGACGGTGCTTGGACAGGTTGCCAAGAGAGGGGGGGGGGAATGACATAGGTAGATACGGTTAGATCCTGGCGGCTTGAGCTCCGTCAGAAGATTGGGAGGGGCGAGGAAAAAAGGAGGAACAAAGTAGATCAATGAGGGACCAACGATGCGGCAAGACCCTCCCGGCGCCTTGAGAACCCGAGCGCCCGCAGGGCCTGCCATTCAGGCGAGCCCCGCCTTGCAAGCGGAGTTGACCTGCATCGTTCTATTTGCAATGCGTGGGCAGGCGCATGCCGTTCGCGGAAGTATCTAGCGATGCCACCATTTCGAACAAGGAAGCGCCCTCCCATACTCTCAAACGATTCAGGACCGTTGGTCGTTGCCCTAAAGCTAGGGCCGCATTTTGAAATCTTCCCGCCTCCCATCGTATGTGGGCAACGTTTCAGTGCGGGGCGCCAAGGCGAGAACCAGATTTTGAAAACAATCAGAGGCAGCAGCGTGGAATGGGGATTCCCCGCTGCAGTGTCCCGGCGGAGAACCGCGGGTCACGCCCGGAGGCCGCGAGGAAGACATCCACCTCCACGCCCATATCCTCCTTGTCGTCCACTGCCTCATCCTCCTCCGTCCTCCGCAACAAACACCTGCTCGTGCACCTCCTCAAGCAGCGTCACCCTGCCATCCCCCTCCCCATCGTCCTCCTCCTCCTCCTCCTCCTCCTCCTCCTGGCCATCCTGGTCCTCCTCCTCCTCTTGTTCGTCGTCCTCCTCCTCTTCCTCCTCATCCTGCTGGTCCTCCTCCTCCTCCTCCTCCTCCCTTAGCTCCTCCTCGTCCTCCTCGCCCTTTTCCTCCACTTGCTCCTGCACCAGATCATGAATAAGACGCGGCAGACCGCCTGAATATGACGGCGCCGATGCACCTACTTCCGCGGGCAGCTTGCGCGCGGGTGACCGCGCAATCGATCCCCGTGGCGTCGCCCCCCCACCTTCAAAGTAGGCGGTGCAGCGGGCCGCTTCTGTCAAAGCCTCGCCTCCCCCCTCGGGGGCGGTTAACCCACCCATCCCACTAGCAGACCGTGGAGGTTTTGGATAAGGAATCCAGGGTCTGGAGCCTTTTGGAGATCCGCCTGCTTGGAGCGGGAGGGGTGGGCAGAATTTGTCCGCCCCCAATCATTGTGAGCTCTCTACCCACCGTCTCCCCCCCTCCCCCCACTTCCTCCCCCCTCCCGCCTCCCTCCTCCCTCCCCCCTCCCTCCCGCCTCCCTCCCGCCCTTCCTCCGCCTCAGATCCCCTGGAGGAGGGCGGCAGGTGAGCTGTGCGGTTGCGGTTGCGCGCCCGCGGGCGGGTTGAAATGTGTCGCCCAGTTGGGGTTGCGGTCGCGGGCCCGCGGGCGGGTTGAAATGCGTCGCGTAGTTGCGTTTGCGCGCCCGCGGGCGGGTTGAAATGTGTCGCGTCGTTGCGGTTGCGTTTGCGCGCCCGCGGGCGGGTTGAAACGTGTCGCCCAGGTGCGGGTGCGGTTGCGCGCCCGCGGCCGGGTTCAAATGTGTCGCCCAGTAGCGGTTGCGGTTGCGCGCCCGCGGGCGGGCCGAAATGTGTCGCCCAGGTGCGGTTGCGGTTGCGCGCCCGCGGGCGGGTTGAAATGTGTCGCCCAGTTGGGGTTGCGGTTTCGCGCCGCGCGGCGGATTGAAATGTGTCGCGTAGTTGCGTTTGCGCGCCCGCGGGCGGGTTGAAATGTGTCGCGTCGTTGCGGTTGCGTTTGCGCGCCCGCGGGCTGGTCGAAATGTGTCGCGTTGTTGCGGTCGCGGTTGCGCGCCCGCGGCCGGGGTGAAATGCGTCGCCCAGTAGCGGTTGTTGTTGCGCGCCCGCGGGCGGGTCGAAATGTGTCGCCCAGTTGCGGTTGCGGTTGCGCGCCCGCGGGCGGGCCGGAATGTGTCGCCCTGTTGCGGTTGCAGTTGCGCGCCCGCGGGCGGACTAAGATGTGTCGCCCATTTGCGGTCGCGCTTGCGCGTCCGCGGGCGGGTTGAAATGCGTCGCCCAGTTGCGGTTGCTGTTGCGCGCCCGCGGGCGGGTCGAAACGTGTCGCCCAGTTGCGGTTGCGGGTGCGCGCCCGCTGGCGGGTTGACATGTGTCGCCCGGTTGCGTTTGCGCGCCCGCGGGCGGGTCGAAATGTGTCGCGTAGTTGCGGTTGCGGTTGCGCGCCCGCGGGCGGTATGAAATGTGTCGCGCAGTCGCGGTTGCGGTTGCGCGCCCGCGGGCGGGTTGAAATGGGTCGCCCAGTTGCGTTTGCGTTTGCGCGCCCGCGGGCGGGCCGAAATGTGTCGCCCGGTTGCGGTTGCGGTTGCGCGCCCGCTGGCGGGTTGACATGTGTCGCCCGGTTGCGTTTGCGCGCCCGCGGGCGGACTAAGATGTGTCGCCCATTTGCGGTCGCGCTTGCGCGTCCGCGGGCGGGTTGAAATGCGTCGCCCGGTTGCGGTTGCTGTTGCGCGCCCGCGGGCGGGTCGAAACGTGTCGCCCAGTTGCGGTTGCGGGTGCGCGCCCGCTGGCGGGTTGACATGTGTCGCCCGGTTGCGTTTGCGCGCCCGCGGGCGGGTCGAAATGTGTCGCGTAGTTGCGGTTGCGGTTGCGCGCCCGCGGGCGGTATGAAATGTGTCGCGCAGTCGCGGTTGCGGTTGCGCGCCCGCGGGCGGGTTGAAATGGGTCGCCCAGTTGCGTTTGCGTTTGCGCGCCCGCGGGCGGGCCGAAATGTGTCGCCCGGTTGCGGTTGCGGTTGCGCGCCCGCGGGCGGGTTGAAATGTGTCGCCCAGTTGCGGTTGCTGTTGCGCGCCCGCGGGCGGGTCGAAATTTGGCGCCCAGTTGCGGTTGCGGTTGCGCGCCCGCTGGCGGGTTGACATGCGTCGCCCGGTTGCGTTTGCGCGCCCGCGGGCGGACTAAGATGTGTCGCCCATTTGCGGTCGCGCTTGCGCGTCCGCGGGCGGGTTGAAATGCGTCGCCCAGTTGCGGTTGCGGTTGCGCGCCCGCGGGCGGGCCGGAATGTGTCGCCCTGTTGCGGTTGCAGTTGCGCGCCCGCGGGTGGACTAAGATGTGTCGCCCATTTGCGGTCGCGCTTGCGCGTCCGCGGGCGGGTTGAAATGCGTCGCCCAGTTGCGGTTGCGGTTGCGCGCCCGCGCGCCCGCGGGCGGTATGAAATGCGTCGCCCGGCTGCGGTTGCGCGCCCGCGGGCGAGTTGAAATGTGTCGCGCAGTCGCGGTTGCGGTTGCGCGCCCGCGGGCGGTATGAAATGTGTCGCCCAGTTGCGGTTGCGGTTGCGGTTGCGCGGGCGGGTCGAAATGCGTCGCCCAGTTGCGGTTGCGCGCTCGCGGGCGGGTTAAAATACGCATGTTGTTCAAGGTGCTCTCCTGACGTTCAGTCATTCAATCAGTCAGTCGCCGGCGGGCGCGGAATTTCACCCGGCTCCGCCGTGAACCGCGTTCCATCCGTGTTACTTCGGTTCATTTCTTTAAG